GAAAGGGCCTGAGAAATATTTGAAGAGATAATAGCTGAAAACTTCCCTAATGTGGGAAAGGAAACAGTCACCGAAGTTCAGGAAGCACAGAGCCTCATACAGGGTAAACCCAAGGAGGAACACACCAAGATAAATATTAATCAAATTGACAAAAATTAAAGACAAAGAGAAAATATTAAAAGCAACTAGGGAAAAGCAACAAATGGCATACAAGGGAATTCCCAGAAGGTTATCAGCTGATTTTTCAGCAGAAACTCTGCAGGCCAGAAGGGAGTGACACGATAAATTCAAAGTGATGAAAGGGAAAAACCTACAACAAAGAATACTCTACCCAGCAAGGCTCTCATTCAGATTCGAAGGAGAAATCAAAAGCTTTAGAGATAAGCAAAAGCTAAGAGAATTTAGCACCACCAAACCAGCTTTACAACAAATGCTAAAGGAACTTCTCTAAGTAAAGGGGTTGAAGGGAGAGGACACAACTAGAAATAAGAAAATCACAAATGGGAAAGCCCACTGGTAAAGGCAAACATACAATAAAAGCAGGAAATTATCCACACACAAATATGATATCAAAACCAGCAATCATGATGAGAGGAGAGTACAAAGGTAGGAAATGGGAATTGCATTTGAAATTAAGAGACTAGCAACTTAAACAACCTTGTACATATATAGACTGCTTTATCAAAACTTCATGGGAAATGCAAACCAAAAAACTACAATAGCTACACACACAAAAAAGAAAAAGCAGCCCAAACACAACACTAAAGATGGTCATCAAACCACAAGAGAACGAAAGAGGAAGGGAAGAAAAAACACCTAAAAAACAAACCCAAAACAATTAATAAAATGGCAATAAGAATATACATATCAGTAATTACCTTAAATGTAAATGGATTAAATGCTCCAACCAAAAGACACAGACTGGCTGAAAGGATACAAAAACAAGACCCGTATATATGCTATCTATCAGAGACCCACTTCAAATCTAGGCACACATATAGAATGAAAGTGATAGGATGGAAAAAGGTATTCCACGCAAATGGAAATCAAAAGAAAGCCAGAGTAGCAATACTTGTATCAGAAAAAATAGACTTTAAAATAAAGAGTGATACAAGAGACAAGGAAGGACACTACATAATGATCAAAGAATCAATCCAAGAAGAAGATATAACAATTATAAATATATATGCACCCAACATAGGAGCACCTCAGTACATAAGGCAAATGCTAACAGCTATAAAAGAGGAAATCGACAGTAACACAATAATAGTGGGGGACTCTAACAACCTACTTTTAACAATGGACAGATCACCCAGACAGAAAATCAATAAGGAAACAAAGGCCTTAAATGACACATTAGACCAGATGAACTTAATTGATATCTATAGAACATTCCATCCAAAAGCAGCAGAATACACTTTCTTTTCAAATGCACAGGGAACATTCTTCAGGATAGATCACAATTTGGGCCATAAGTCAAGCCTCAGTAAATTTAAGAAAATTGAAATCACGTCAAGCATCTTTTCTCACCACAACATATGAGATTGAAATCAACTACAAGAAAAAAACTGCAAAAAATACAAACAAGGGAGGCTAAACAATATGCTATTAAACAACTAATGGATCACTGAAGAAATCAAAGAGGAAATCAAAAACATACCTAGAGACAAATGAAAAGAAAAACACGACTATCCAAAACCTATGAGATGCAGCAAAAGCAGTTCTAAGAGGGAAGTTTATAGCAATATACTTGCTAGCAAGGATGCAGAACAACTGAAATTCTCAAACACTGCTGGTATAAATGCAAAATGGTACTGGTACTTTGGAAAACAGTTTGGCAGATTCTTTAAAAAGTAAACATATGTTTACAAGATCTAGCATTCCCACTCCTACGTATTTACCCAAGAAACATAAAAAGTTAATGTTCACACAAAAACCTACATGCAAATATTTACAGCACCTTTATTCATAATCACCAAAAACTGGCAAATATCCCTCAACTGGGGAATGGATAAACAAAATGTGGTACGTACATTCCATACAATGGAATACTACACAGAAATAAAAAGAAACAAACTACTGATACACGCAACATAAATGAATCTCAAATGCATTATTAAGGAAGCCAGGCTCAAAAGTCTACAAACTGTATGATTCCATTTATGAAGGCAAACTATGTGGGCAATAAATAGATCAGTGGTTGCCAGGAGCTGGCACACTGGTTGGGTGGGAGAGGACTATAAAGAGGCAGCAACAGGGAATTTTTGTGGTGGTGCAACTTTTCTAATCTTTGATTGAGATGGTCATTAAATGCATTTATCAAAACTCATAAAACTATACACTAAAAGGGGTGAATTTTGCTGAAAAAAAAAGGGCAGTTCATAAAAGAAAAACATGTCATATGGAAGAAACTTTAGAATAACCCACTCAACTGATAAGAGGGAAAACTCAGGAAGGGTAAGTGATTAACAGTTTTATCTAAGGTAGTAGGAGTAGTGAGATGAGAACCAAAGTCTCTTGACCCGTCCAGGATCCTTTCTACCACCGCAGTATTTTCCAGTGCTGTTTTACCTTGACCCCCAGTAAGAAATACACCATTACCACAAAGTTGGCAGCTTAAACCAACACTCATTTATTATCTTACAGTTCTGCAGGTTAGAAGTCTGGCACAGTGTGACCAGATTATCTGCTCTGGGTCTCACCAGGCCAAAGTGAACGTGTCAGCTGACCTGGGCTTTTTCTGGAGGCTCTAAGGGACAACCCATTTCCAAGACCAGGCAAGTTACCGGCAGAATTCAGTTCAATGCAGTTATGGGACTGAGGTCATTTCCTTGCTGGCTGTCAGCCAGCAGTTGTTATCATCTTCTAAAGGCTGCCACATTCCTTGGCTCATGACCCTCTCCATCTTCAAAGCCAGCAACAATAGATCATGTCCTTTTCATGCTTTGAATCTTTCTGATGTCCTCTTCTGCCACATCTCTATAACTTCTACCCTCAGCCAGGAGAAAGCTCTGCTTTTAAGAGTTCATGTGATTACTTTGGGGCTGGCCAGACAATCCAGGATCATCTATTTTAAAGTCTACTGATTAGTAACCTTAATTACATATGCAACATTCCCTCTTGCAATGTAACATATTCACAAGCATGACACCAGGGGCAAAGGTCATGGGGGCCAAAACTGTGCCCACCACATAGATTTTCCACAATGATGTAATATACACACATATAAATGAAACAAACTTACCTTTCACTCAGTTCAACACTCCACTTCTTTTATTTTAAAATGACAGTGGCAACATAGTACATTGATTTCATGTCCTATTAATGGGCTGCAACCTCTAAGTTTATCTTGAAAAAAGGCCTGCATTCCCTTTTAAATTCCAATCTGCAATAATACAAGGCCCATGGAAGGGCCTCAGGGGCCTGGGTAACCCCTGAAATTATATGCAAAGTTCTGGTACTAACTAATCCTAAGAAAAACAGACAAACCCATGTCGGGGACAGTCTGCTGGATACCTCCCCAGTGCTACTGAAGGCTATCATGGTCATGAAAAAAGAAAACAGACCAGAGGAGACTAGGAGACATGACAAGTAAATGTAATGTACTGGATTGGATCTTAGAACAGAAAAAGGATATTAATGGGAAAATGAGAAATCCAAAAAGTCTGGAGTTTAGTTAATAGTGATATAAATGTCAGTTTCTTAGGTTTGAGAAATGTACCTGGCAATGTAAGATGTTAACAATGGGGAACTAGGTGAGGAGTATACAAGAACTCTGTACTGTCTTTGCAGCTTTTCTGTAAATCAGTATTATTCTAAAAGAAAATTTACTTATAAAACATTACAAGATTGAGCATCTGCACATCCTTCTAGGGAGATTTATAGACTTTATACCTCCTATTCATGATCCAAAAATATTTAAGTCCCACTGTCCAAGGCTTCCTACTGCTTTCCTTAACCACTACTTTCTAAGTACTCTGCCTCCTTCCTCCTATGTCACCCACAACTTCTCAAAAAACAAGATTTAACTAGGGCCTGGGGAAAGGAAGAATGGGGAATTATTTTCTAATGGGTTCAGTTTCAGTGTGGGAAGATGAAAAATATTCTGGAGATGGATGATGGTGATAACAATGGGAATAAATGCCACAGAACTGTACACTTAAAAGTGGTTAAGGGCTTCCCTGGTGGTGCAGTGGTTGAGAGTCCGCCTGCCGATGCAGGGGACACGGGTTCGAGCCCTGGTCTGGGAGGATCCCACGTGCCGCGGAGCGGCTGGGCCCGTGAGCCACAAATACTGAGCTCTGTGCGTCTGGAACCTGTGCTCCGCAGCAAGAGAGGCCGCGACAGTGAGAGGCCCGCGCACCGCGATGAAGAGTAGCCCCCGCTTGCCACAACTAGAGAAAGCCCTCGCACAGAAACGAAGACCCAACACAGCCAAAAATAAATAAATGAATAAATAAAAAAAAAAATAAAAAAAAAAGTGGTTAAAATGATACATTTTATGTTATGTATATTTTACAATTTTAAAAATAAAGGAATGGGTACTGACACATGCTATAACATAGATAAACCTTACAAAACATTATCTTAAGTGAAAGAAGGCAGACACAAAATACCACCTATTATATAATTCCCTTAACAATGCTCCAAAATTGACTATAGCAACAGTTTTACATATCTGTGAATATATTAAAAACTACTGAAATGTACACTTTAAATGGGTAAATTGTATGGTAGGTGAATTATCTCTCAATAAAGCTACTGAAATATTTTAACTGGTTTTAAATCTAGGATCACATTTATTTGACCTCTGAAGACCTTAAGTGACATCCTATAAATTCTGGAGCCACACTCTGCTGATGTGCTAAAAAAATGAACAAATAAATGAAAGACTGGGGTTTACAATGGCTAGCAGGGAAGATCAGAAAAATCTGTGGCTAGGCATGGTGGCTCTCCAGTCATGACGCAAGAACAAAGGCAAGATGATAAAACACACTAGGTTGAGGTTGATCAGAAACTTTTATTTGGTCCTTATCATTTATTAAGCAACCTACAAAATCATTTTTGATACCTCTACCACAAGCAGCAGCAGCTGCATCCAGGCCAGAAATGGAAGACACAAGTAGTGGAAGACCTTATAAAGAAAAGCTAACAGGTGAGATCTCTGCTTATCCAGGCTTAGGTGAAGGCAGAACAGGAAAAGTGTGTAAGTCCAGTATTCCAAAGACTCTTCTTCTTCAAAGCTGAGACCTGCAGAGGGCCTAGCTGAAGGATGCAGGTACAGGCTCACAAAACTGCCCAGGCTCAGCAATCAATCCAAAGTACCTAAAAACACAAAGAGCAATGTTGAAAGCAAGGTGCCTCAAGAGCTGGATGAATGTAGCAAACTGGGCAAAGTTAAGTGGCAGCTGCTTTGGTACTGGCATTTCTTCTAAGACCAAAATACTCATTTTGAGGAATATCCATCCAAAAGATCCTTGGGGAAGAACATGTCATTACAGAGGCTGGGCAGTTGGGTCTGGAGAGTTCAATTTAGAGGTGGGAAAAGGGCTAAGAAATTGTGTTGGTTAATGAGCATCTGTGGAGACTACAACAAGGGGTGAGTGATACAAAATAAATAAGTTTTCTAAGCAGAGTGTATAATCTTTGAAAAAGTTCCAAGTCAAGATGGGAAACTGGGGACTTCCCTGGTGGCACAGTGGTTAAGAATCCTCCTGCCATTGTAGAGGACATGGGTTCGATACCTGGTCTGGGAAGATCCCACATGCCATGGAGCAAATAAGCCCGTGTGCCACAACTACTAAGCCTGCACTCTAGAACCTGCGAGCCACAACTACTGAGCCCATATGCTGCAACTACTGAAGCCCACATGCCAGATCCCATGCTCCGCAACAAGACAAGCCACCACCATGAGAAGCCTGCACACCGCAACAAAGAGTAGCCTCCACTCGCCGCAACTAGAGAAAGCCTGCACGAAGCAATGAAGACCCAATGCAGCCAAAAATAAAATTTTTTTTTAAACTTTAAAAAAAGAAGGGAAACTGGACCCTCAAGTTTGTATGCCCTCCCATGCAAGATTCCACGTGAAAGGAAAAAAATCTTTTAACAGGTATATAAATCTACAACAAAGAGATTTGGTTGAAACAAAAAACTGACTGACAGAAATCTGACTGAAGTGTGTTTATAAATAGGGCAGAGGAAAATAAGCCTACAATAAACAGAGGGGGGTGCAGCAGAGGTGGGAACCCATCTAACTAGAAAACTCATGGGGAGGATCTAGACTGACACCAAAAATGACAGAAAGAGATGCAAGGCTAACATGGGTAATGACTAGAGGGTCTATATGAGAAACAGTTGACCACATCTCCTCACAACCCTCCCAAGTGTGCAGCACTACCAGAAAACAAGCATTTAAACTAAATCTAACTTGAAAAAAATCAGCGGGCTCTCTTCTAAAGAACTAAATGAATTATCTGGAGAAGAAGCGGCTTCTGAAAATTCCAGCTTCCCACAGTCAAGTTTTCTGCAATTCTGGCCTTTGGAGGCCCCCAACATAACATCTGGTCCCACCCGCTACCCACACTAAAGTAAAACTGCAAGGCAATAACCACCCTCCATACACATACATACACAGGTTCCAAAGAGCTTTCTTACTCCCTCATTCTAAAATAGAATAAAAATTACAAGGCATCTGAAGAAAGCCTATCCAGTAAAAGGAAAGATTTGAAAGAATAATTCAGGGAAAAGAACACATAAGAAAAGAACAAAGCAAAAAAACCTCAAAATTTTTTTAATAGCCTCTGCTTTTGATAATGTCAAATTTCTGCTGATACCAATTGATAGAACTGATTAAACTATTTTTAAAAAGAAAATCCTTCAGGCATTAAATAGGCCTCAAGAAAAGGCAAACCCAAAATCTAGAGAAGGCAAAAACACAAAGAAAACCCAGCCTTCAAAACTGCTTTTACCTCAGGGGAATCTGCCAATCCAAAAGAGAGCTGAAAAACGTTTGCGATTTTGGCTAAGCAAATGAAGGGTCAAATCTGAGAATGTGCCCAAGTGGAAAGGTTTGATAATTTCCCCCTTTCTAAAAGCTGGATTCCCAAAAGGCTACACCCTCAGAGTAAGGCTGAACTAGAATTAAATCAGTCCCCTCACAGACCTGCCATCACAGTTGATATCACCACAGTGATCAAGGAATCCTCAAGTCTTAGATTCAAAAAGGAGGTTCTGCACTGATACATGCCCCTAGGTGTCTTGCAGAAGCAAATGAAAATCTTTGAAGAAAGGTCTCATTATACTGGCCTCAAATAATTATCCAACAAATTATTTTTTCAAATATTAATACAATGACAAATATACCAAGATAGGGCTTCCCTGGTGGCGCAGTGGTTGAGAGTCCGCCTGCCAATGCAGGGGACACAGGTTCGTGCCCCAGTCCGGGAAGATCCCATATGCCACGGAGCGGCTAGGCGCGTGAGCCATGGCCACTGAGCCTGCGCGTCTAGAGCCTGTGCTCCGCAACAGGAGAGGCCACAACAGTGAGAAGCCCGCGTACCACAACTATATATATATATACACACTAAGATAACTAAGCAAATAGAAAAACCATGAGACAGTACCAACAGAAACAATAGACAGAAAAGTAAATAAATAAGCCAGGCTTAAAAGGTTTTGGATATTAGATTGGACACAGACTATAAACAATTGTACATACTACATTTAGTGATATAAAACACAAGTTTCAAAACATCTGCAGCAAATACAAACTGACAAAATATATTTGAAAAATAACTAAATGGAATTCACAGAAAATGAAAAATACAAAAACAAGAACTGAAACTAATAAATCAACAGGAAAGTTTAAAGGAGACAAGACTACTGAACAGAGAATTAATAAAATGTAAGGTCAGAAAAATTACATATAATACATCATGGAGTGGCAAAATGATGGTTGACTTTTAGCATACATTTAATGTGAATCCCAGAGAGAAAGGAGAAAGAAAAAGAGAAAGGAGAGACAAAGAGACTTCTCCAGGACAGATGAAAGACATCAATCCATAGATTTAAAAAGCCTAAGTAGTTGCTGCCGCCACCAAGAAGCCTGTGTGTGAGCACAGGTTATTATCCACAACCCCCTTCCGGGGAGCCTGTGCAGCCCACCACTGCTAGGGTCCCGGGATGCAGGGACAACTCCCCCGGGAGAACACACGGCGCACCTCAGGCTGGTGCAACGTCACACCGACCTCTGCCGCTGCAGGCTCGCCCCACATTCCATTCCCCTCCCTCCCCCCAGCCTGAGTGAGCCAGAGCCCCCGATTCAGCGGCTCCTTTAACCCCGTCCTGTCTGAGCGAAGAATAGATGCCCTTCGGTAACCTACACGCAGAGGCGGGGCCAAATCCAAAGCTGAGCCCCTGGGAGCTGTGAGAACAAAGAAGAGAAAGGGAAATCTCTCCCAGCAGCCTCAGAAGCAGCGGATTAAAGCTCCACAATCAACTTGATGTACCCTGCATCTGTGGAATACATGAATAGACAATGAATCATAACCAAATTGAGGAGGTGGGCTTTGAGAGCAAGATTTATGATTTTTTCCCCTTTTCCTCTTTTTGTGAATGTGTATGTGTATGCTTCTGTGTGAGATATTGTCTGTATAGCTTTGCTTCCACCATTTGCCTTAGGGTTCTATCCGTCTGTTGTTTTTGTTTGTTTATTTTTAAATTTTTTTCCTTAATAATTATTTTTTTATTTTAATAACTTTATTATATTTTATCTTATTTTATTTTATCTTCTTTCTTTCTTTTTTTCCTTCCTTCCCTCCTTCCTTCCTTCCTCCCTCCCTCCCTCCCTTCTTTCTTTCTTTCTTTCCTTCTTTCTCTCTCTCTTTCTTTCTTTCTTTCTTTCTACTTCTACTAATTCTTTCTTTCTACTTTTTCTCCCTTTTATTCTGAGCCATTTGGTAAAAGGCTCTTGGTGCTGCAGCCAGGAGTCAGTGCTGTGCCTCTGAGGTGGGAGAGCCACCTTCAGGACACTGGTCCACAACAGACCTCCCAGCTCCACATAATAACGAACGGCGAAAATCTCCCAGAGATCTCCATCTCAACACCAGCACCCAGCTTCACTCAAAAACCAGCAAGCTACAGTGCTGGACACCCTATGCCAAACAACTAGCAAAACAGGAACACAACCCCACCCATTAGCAGAGAGGCTGCCTAAAATCATAATAAGTCCACAGACATCACAAAATGCACCACCAGACGTGGACCTGCCCACCAGAAAGACAAGATCCAGCCTCATCACCAGAACACAGGCACTAGTCCCCTCCACCAGGAAGCCTTCACAACCCACTAAACCAACCTTAGCCACTGGGGACAGATACCAAACACAACGGGGACTACGAACCGGCAGCCTGCAAAAAGGAGACCCCAAACACAGTAAGATAAACAAAATGAGAAGACAGAAAAACACACAGCACATAGAGGAGCAGGATAAAAACCCACAAGGCCTAAAAAATGAAGAGGAAATAGGCAGTCTACCTGAAAAAGAATTCAGAATAATGATAGTAAAGATGATCCAGAATCTTGGAAACAGAATGGACAAAATGCAAGAAACATTTAACAAGGACCTAGAAGAACTAAAGATGAAACCAACAATGATGAACAACACAATAAATGAAATTAAAAATACTCTAGATGGGATCAATAGCAGAATAACTGAGGCAGAAGAACGGATAAGTGACCTGGAAGATAAAATCGTGGAAATAACTACTGCAGAGCAGAATAAAGAAAAAAGAATGAAAAGAACTGAGGACAGACTCAGAGACCTCTGGGACAACATTAAACACACCAACATTCGAATTATAGGGGTTCCAGAAGAAGAAGAGAAAAAGAAAAGGACTGAGAAAATATTTCAAGAGATTACTGTTGACAACTTCCCTAATATGGGAAAGGAAATAGTTAATCAAGTCCAGAAAGCAAGAGAGTCCCATACAGGATAAATCCAAGGAGAAATACACCAAGACACATATTAATCAAACTGTCAAAAATTAAATACAAAGAAAACATATTCAAAGCAGCAAGGGAAAAACAACAAATAACACACAAGGGAATCCCAATAAGGTTAACAGCTGATCTTTCAGCAGAAACTCTGCAAACCAGAAGGGACAGGCAGGACATATTTAAAGTGATGAAGGAGAAAAACCTGCAACCAAGATTACTCTACCCAGCAAAGATCTCATGCAGATTTGATGGAGAAATTAAAACCTTTACAGACAAGCAAAACCTGAGAGAGTTCAGCACCACCAAACCAGCTTTACAACAAATGCTAA